ATTTTTGGCACCCATGTTTCATGTTAAATAGCATCAGAAGTTCAGTGTCAGTGTTATCTACATGTCCTGCATAGTTATCACCACAATGCTTCTTGCTATACTTACAATGACTTTCCTTGGACATTCTTTGGACAGATTTAATGACCAGTCTCATTCATGAGTCATCTTGATCTTCCCCATCTTGACTATTGCTGATGTATTGTAAGCAGTTTTCTGGTTTCTCACTGTTATTTACTTATTTGCTCACCCCATGAATCAGCTATCATTGGGCCACATGATATGGCATCCCAACGGGGACTTGATTATTGGGGTAGTGCATATTATTTTTCTTTAGGGGAATCAGTATTTTAATGCTGATTCCATTTTTACTCTGGATTGATGAAATTATGATGATGAATGATGAAATTGACACACACAAATATAAATAATATTACACCCACAAGACAACCATGCCTGAGGTGGGACTTGAACCCACGATCATCTGGTCCGAGAATGCTACGGCAATACTGCCTTAGCATTCTCGGCCATCAGATCAGCATTGTTGTTGTTGTTGTTATTATTGTAATTATTAATAATGATGACAGGTAAATTTTATTCTAAAATTGAAACAGAACAAAGTTAACTTGACACAAACTCCTTTGCTACCAAATAATACTACTACTAATAAAAAAAATTATGGTATGATATTTCTCATACACAGTTGTTGCCTTGAAAAATTCTGGGGTTATGAAATGCTTACAAATGGCAACCATACTTTTGCGTAACTTAAAACCTTTGACAGAGAAGATAAGTCTCAGTATTTGACACATGTTTGAAGGACATTTATGCTGATAGAAGATTCTTGTTACAAACCAAAAAATTTATAGTGCACAAAATCAGGGAGGTGATTATATCCCCGGCCTTTTGAATTCCTCCTTGCTTCCTTTTTTAAAATTACATTTGTTGTTGTAGTTGTTGTTGTTGTTGTTGTTGTTGTTGTTGTTGTTATTATTATTATTATTATTCAGAAAAATATTTACCAGAATTGTTCCACTGCGAGGAAACTTGTGGGTTCCTTTAACAATCCAGACAAGTAGACTCTCAATTAAGTCATAATTGATCTTCTCTCCATCCATCAGGTAGAGACACTTTTTGGTGAGGACACTGTAACCTGTGGAAAATTTATTAGATCAGAGGCATTTATGCATTATTGCATTTATGCATTACATATGCAATGAGTAATCATGAAAGGCACGCCTTTTCCTGTGCACCAGTACTATCTTCAATAGGTGTCATTCTCTGGTATTTTGGGGTACCAATTTCACTTTCAGCCTGATTCTAGAGACGCAGAAACATGTTTGCCGTACCCTTCATGAGATAGTTCCAGAGCTAGGAGCATAACATTTGGGACCACAATGCAGGCCGGCTCAGTTAAAATGGCCTGTTTATGGGATATTTTTATTACTTTATGTACTAACACTACTTGGCTTTATATAATATAGAAATGCAATGCAAATTACCAATGAAGTGAAATGGAACATTATCCACGAACTGAGGAGGACAATGCAATTTTGAAGTTATGAGGGGAAAAAATCGACAATTGATCAATTTTTCCAACCTGTAAAATATTTTTATTTTTTTATATTTTTATTTTTATTATTTATATTTCTTTTAATATGCATTACTTAAAGTACTTTTTTATTTGTTGACATGTTGTTTTATTTAATGTCATTTATGAGTAAATTAGTTCATCCCAAGGATATTTGCATGTTATTTGTATGTTGCGTATTATACGCTAATTTTTCATATTATGGTGTTTTTGCAGATGGAAATGTGGAAAGTAAGTATAAATTGAACATTTTTCATAAGCATGTTTTCCCGCTTATGACGTTCAAAATTTTCAGATTCTTGAAAAACGTACACCACTAATTCAATGTCTTACGGAGGTGAGATTTTACAAGGATATTTTTTAAACTGTAAATTACATCACCAAGAGGAATGGATAAAAATGAATGTTCATCTTACCATCATACCGATAATTCATTTGAGATATTGTCAAATGTTCATCTCTTGTGGCTGGATTGGGAATTACTGCAGTTTTCTGGTCAGCTACTGCCAATTCCACTTCAAAAGATTCTGAATCTGAGAAAGGCTTTTTGATGTCTCTGCAATATTGGGAGTTCTCTTCAAGTGCATACTCAATAATATCAAGTGTATCTTCTAAGAAGAACTGTTGGACTGGAAAAGTTCTCCCTGGAACACAGTTATGGATTTGCTTTGAGTAGAGCTTTCATTAAAGACATTTGAGTATAGAGCTGAATTAATGCGAAAGCAGACCTAATGTAATGAGAGACAAGATAATTTCAACTCAATTTGTTTCTGACAGAAATAATAATTAAAATTGAGCAGGCCCTAATTAACATCAAGAAAAAAAAAATCATCTACACAGAACCTGGCATTTTAGCTTTGGTGAAAAGGAAACACCAGGTAAGATGAGAGAAAACTTCATTGGTAAAGGTCACCTGGTTAGACAATACAGTTTGGAAAAGGAGTTGAGGTAAATCCAGCTTAGAGAGGAAAAACCATATCTAAAAAGACTTGCAACAAGTGCAAAGAAGAGTAAAACAGTAATGAAGTAATAAACAGACAAAATAAGGAAAAAATTAGAGAATGAGGTCAAAACCTAACTAGCACGGATGTCCAGTGATGCAGATGATGATGATGCTACTAACCTGGAATTTCAATTATGGGCACTTTACCAAAATAACTAGAAAACAAGTTGGCATTCAGCGTTGCACTCATTAACACCACTTTTAAGTCCTTTCTAACTTGTAATAGGTCTCGCAGAATCATCAACAGGAAGTCACTGAAAATATTAATTAATAAAATACAATGACTAATAAAAATTTTAAAATTTAAATTATCAATACATGTAATTACCCAGCTATGACAGTGATTAAGAGTCTTTGACTGTTGTATTATTACTCGCGCAACTTTTCTTGAACGATGATCTTGGTTCCCCTCTCTGGCACAAGTTGAAGTCAAAAGTTTGAAATAAGCACGTATGACAACATTCCAAACTTCATTGCGCGAAATAGAAACAATTTTCTTTTGAAGACAAGAACTTCTGTCTGTTATTTTCTCCAAAAAATCTAAAGAAATGATCGAAGCAGGTAAGGATCTATCACAGGAGAAACCTCAAACTCCACATTAAGTTAGAATGCAAATTATTGTGAAAGTTGCGAAGGCATGACGGAGTCTACAGATATTGACATTGCTTCATAAAAATGTAATGGACAATTTCGTAACCACTCTACCCACGTTTCTTCAATCCATCTTTCAAGAAAAGCTGCGCGAGTAATACCATGCTGCCTATTATTTTACACAGTGAAATCTCATTAGCACGAACTCGCTTAACACAAATTTTGCTGTAACACGAACAAAACTTGAGTCCCGGCAAGGGATTACAGTAATACGGTCATTTATAATAATCAGATAACACAAAGTTTTATAAAACGAACTCAGATTATTTCAGTTCCTTGGAATTTGCGATAAAGAGGGTTCACTATCCATTGAAAACTAATTGGATTTGTTTCTGTCATCATGGCAACAAATCAGTCTTGCATCTTTATTTTCTTTAGAAAGATGCTTCTTCCTTTCTCATGCTTACCTTTCCTCACTTCGTTCATGGACTTCATCCACAATGATATGTGTAATTGATGACAGATTAGGATCGCCCTCTAGCCTTCTGAGCAGAATACCTGTTGTGCAGAAAAGTAGCCGGGTTGAAGATGAGGTTTTGCTTTCCAGTCGTATCTGAAAAAATTCTGCACTAAGATTTTCACTTCTACTTTCACTAATTGCATTTGCAAACTCTGGAAACCATAGATCCCACTTTTACCTTTCATACACCCAAGATGTGCAATGTATGATATAGCATGCATATTGTGACAATTTGCATTATCTTCCCTATTACTACTCTATAATACTAGTGCGTGTACATATATAAAGATATAGATATTGTATATCCACACCATACCAAACCAGCCAACAACAGCAGCCTTCAACAAGTCACAATGTGCAGTGTGTCACGCAACCTCGAAAACTATCCTTTGATTTCTTTAGTTAGATTACAAAGCAAATATCTTAGTACCTGGTAACCAACGACACCACCTATTCTGTCTGCTCGTTCATCAGCAACACGTTCTGCCACCCCAATGGCCGAGATACGTCGTGGCTGTGTGCAGACAATCTCTCTGTGCTCATCGTCGCATGCTCCTGTGAGCCACTGGTCTAAGAGAAACTGGGGCACCTGCACATACACATGTTTAAAAGTAAAAGTGAAGAAATTTTGTACTCCAAGATTCAACAACATATTTTAAAAATTTGTGAATGAATGGTTATGTCAGCTTTACTGACTGACAATGAATCCTGGTTGGAACTGTAGCACTGTAGCCCTAGATATGATATCACATTCAAAATCACTGCTACAATAACCCCTGATTTTTACTACCTGTAAATCGTGAAAAGGGCAATATGCTAATGTACCAATGTTAATCTTTTCCATTACAATCCCTTTGCAATGAAACAAAGATACTGAATGAAGCAACTTTAATATACATTTTAACCAACCTGAGTGCTCTTTCCACAACCTGTTTCGCCACTAATGACAACCACTTGACTTTCATCTATTGCAGATAATATGTCTTCACATTTTGCCCATGCAGGAAGTTTAGCACGAGCTTCCACCATTTTCTGATATTTAGGACAACTATCTTGCATTTCAAAAAACTTCTGAATAATTCGAGAATTCTCTCTGAAAGAGGACAAGATGATGTAACTATATTGCAGGTAGTCACTACCAATTCAGTATCATCTCTCTGCTCCATATGCAGCAATCTTCATTACTCTACATTTGGTTTCCTCACATTCCATTTTAAGTCAGTTATAGCAGAAAACAATTTATTAGCTGGGGTGGACTAAAACATTCACAGACCTGACATTTCTTGATGTTTAAATTACACATCCATAACATTTCTTGGCAAGGTTTACAATTTCCCACTTTCCTTATAACTGTAATTTGCATTCGCAACAATTTAAAAGTCCCGGTAGGATTGACAAATAAAGTAAAGTTGAAGAAGTTTAAGTATTAATTTCCCTTCTAATGCTCAATGGAAGCACAATGATCTATAAACACTAGTTTATCATGAAAACATAGCAAAATTTCCTAACTTTCCCCTTTCCTAATTGAATGGCCTATGTCTAATGCCAACATTCACAAGTCTAAAATAATCAGTTCATCATTCACAGAATATCACCCACAATATGCGACCATCATGCAAATTAATCAGCGAATTCTAACTTGCAATATTTTGGACTTTAGCAATAACATATACATTACATTATTAAACTACTCTATTCAGAAAAATTAAGGAATTATCCTAAGTTAAATCAGAGTTTTATCAAAAAGCTCTGGATTATTTATGAACTCATTTTTACATTTAATAAATGGACCACATTTATAAAGAAATATCAACTATTCGAAAGATTTCATTATTTAAATCAATGAAGGAATTATATGGATAGGAAATATTATTGTAATTTTCTCTGTATTTGGACAAAAATGTCCATATATTAAATATATAAAATAAAAATTGATGTACTTGACCTTGGTTTCAGTAGTTTTATAAAGTGCTTTAGATCTATGATCCACACTTTTATGAAAATTTCCATTTTCAATTGTTATGCACTGTATGTATACTATAAATAAGATTTATGTTTGCCCAAATTTTTATTAGATGGAATCACTATTTAACTATATTTTATTTATGTTTTTTATTGAGATGTATATTTATATTTGTTATTGTGTATTTGGACAGGAAATGTTGGTATAGTATAAAATAAATACATAAATACCTCATAACTTCTTTCATGTTCTGTTGACTCTTTCCAGCTCTCTGACCTCTTGAATTATGGCCAAAATTACTATCAACTTGCATTCCATTCAAAGAATTCTTTTTACCCTTCACATCGGGGAACAACTTCTCTTCGGGTAAAGGAAAGTCACCCCTCCAAACTTTTAGTATCTCCAGCATTTCCTCCTGCTTCTCAAGTAGAATTTGTGTCACAGTGTACACGCAAGGCTGTTCTGATTGGGAGCAGTTCATGGCTTCTTGTTGCAATCGTCGGGCCAAACGCAGACAGGCATCCGCAGGAACTTTGGGACAGTTGGTACTCAGATAGATAAGAGGGGACTCAGCTGGGTAACATAAACCTACAGTCAAAAGAGTAATTAATTAAACAGATCAGATATTGATATCAACAAGGCAGAGAAACACGGAAACTTCTGAGAGACTTATCCCAACTTTTTTTTCAATGAAATATTTGTCATCTAAACAATGAACCTTTGCACTTTGTATTGTGTTAATTGAAAATATAGTAAATTATAATGTGAATAACAAATTTACATATATTTAATATTACAATTAAATGAGCGTAACCCCCAAAAACCAGAAATCATACTTTACCTTCTGGAAACCGTATTTCAAGATTAAAAACAAATTTCTCCTCAGCTTCAACCTTTTTTTTTGTTTCTGTGGTAGTAGAATTTGGTAAGATATGAGAATTGCGACACCCAGTAGCAAATTTGCAGTGGCCTTTGGCAAAAAATCTGCAAATTTCTGCTTCCTTCTTTGGTTTTCTTTGCTCTTTTCCTATTTCCAGATTTTTTTTTGGTTTGACGTACAAGTCTATTAGGTAAGGTATTTCTAAGTGTAGGAGCCATACTCTGTTGATGAAAAATATCCAACATTAATTTCAAATTCAAATTATTTCATATTCACAAATATAAGAATAATATATATCTATACATATGTACAAAACATCAGGCCTGCACCTTGCTGAGGACAAAGTCCTGTGCGGGAGGCATGAATTAACTCAATTTTAACTTTCACTTCAAAAATAGTCTCAAGTTTTAAACACAAAAATTAAGAACAAACATGAAATTCACAAAAAAGGAGAAATAATCTCAATAGAAAAAACTCCTTCATCATAGACTAAACATCCCCTTTGCTTAAGTATAGCAACCATTTCCTAAGTAACTTTCTATTTAACTTATTATTCATATCCGATAGGTTTAGATCTTCATTCAAACAATTAAAGATGATATAGGCAAAATACACACAGCTACTCCTATGTATGTCTTAGATAACTTTATGAGAAGTGACAATGGGTTCTCTCTTTATTGATTTATGTAGGTATTATGTAGGTAGGAAAAGCTGTAGAGCAGTGATGTTTCTAAATAAAATTTCCCAATGGAAATTTTTATTTTTGCCCCTGAATAACTTCTCTAAAGGAGTACTGCTTTTCTTTACCAATGATTGTCATAATAATAGAAACTTATAAAGATCAATTAATAAATAAACACTATAAAAGATAGAATAATTTAAGTAAATCAATTTCAAACTAATGATTAAAAAAACAAAACTAAAAAGTTGATTTAAAGTTTAAACTAAAAGTTTGTCTATTTTATACCAATTTCATGGTTACGAAAGGGACATTTTTGTTTTTATTTTCTAATGAAAAACTCGTTTACTTAACCAGTTATAAAGAAAATGTTTATTGTATATTCTTTTATTTAGGGTTGGGTATTTATTCCCTTTTATAAAGAAGACATTTTTGAAATGTGTTTACATAAATTATTTTTCTGTTAGGATAGAATACATAGCCAGTAATTGTAACTCAATTTAACAGAATTTTTCTGTGATTAATGATGGGATTAATAGCTGAATGCATACATATTATTTCTTGGATTGATTTATTATAAGTCAGAACATTTCAAAATAATTTACTGTAATTTTTACTATTTAACTGATGAATTGAAGAAATTGGCTTAATATGGATGGGATATTCTTTAAGTTAACAATAATATCCTTGATGTATTGAATTTTTCTTACAATTATTAGAACAGTCAATAATTCAAAGTGAAAATACAGGAATTAAAATTATTTTTGAACATATATTGTAAAATTTCACATAAAAAATAAACATTAACCCATCACAAAGAAAACCAGCCTGACTAATTTATTACATTGCAGGAATGTGATACTGTTAAACTCAATCCTTTCTTTGCATATTCTGGAGAGGACTACCAGAATTTTATGGTGTGTGAAGTTGGCAGAGTGAATTTTGAAAATCATAAATATTTTAGATGCAAACAAAGTTCTACAGTTGGCGGTCAAAAAGTTGTAGAGTTCTCAAACAAATTCAGAAAAAAATCCCTCAAAATAACCAAAATATTAAAAAAATTGTTTTCCCAACATACAACAAAAAAATACTAACAAACATTCATTGCATTGTATGCTTGTTGTTTGATGCATCATCATTCGTGACTCAGAACTGGAAGATGCATCATCATTCATAGCTCAGAATTGTGAGAACTGGAAAAAAAGCAATTTTAATATTTTGTTTCCCTAATGTTCAAGCCAAAAAACTCACAAAAAACAACAATGTGAAAATATTGAATCATTACTGGGTTTGACATTGAAAGAGTAGTGTATTCGAACATTCCTAGAACTCTTGTCAGAACTGAATAAAATGCAAATTTTAAACAATTACTTTGCAAGCCACGCAAAAGACTACACCGAGGAATGCATTGCGAGAAATGTAGAAAATCGTAACAAGGGACCCTCATTGACCTCCCACACACATGAAAAAGTTTCCTGTTCACCTCTGTGGAGGCGAAAGAAATTTCGTTGCTCGAGTCTGTCAGTGAGCGAATTTTCTCAGACACATTTCTACTCCTTCATTTGTTTTTTTAGGTTCTCTATGCTCTCTGAGCTTACCTGAAGTTAATAAACACTTGGATTCGCGTGATCATGGTGTGAAGTAGGAGAGAAGTGAAATATTTGAGTTTTTTGTGGAGTGAAATTTCGTGTAGCACAGATAAAATTTATAAAAATTAAAAGTGTGTGCAAATGTACCCATATTTGAATGAAACAAGTAATGAACAATACAAAAATATAAAGTTGAAGGATAATACGCGGAGGTCTGTATCCAAAGAATTAAAAGGAAGTAAGCAAACACATTTGGAATTATAATTAACATTTACATATTAACAAATAGCTTATTGTTAATTTAAATACTGATGCCATATTTTGATTGGACAGGAGCATAATTTTAACAATAGTAATATAAGACTATTAACTATTGAAAACATTACTTCACCATACCTCATATTCATTAACAATTCAATAAAATAAGTACCAATTGTTAAACATTTTATCGGATTATTTTCTTTTATATTTGGTAAGAAATGACCTTGCATATGAAATAACATATTCTCGAATTTTAATTTCTATTTATTTTTTGGGTATTTTTTCATACTGCTAATCTTCATTGTTGTTTACTACTTTTTTTTGCAAAGGTTGATGTACTTTACGGTACATGTAATTGTAGAAGTAGATGCTACAATAATTTTTCTTTTAAAGCTTAGAATCTGTAATTTGATCAACATGTTCATCACTCGGCAAATAAATTAAAGCAGAGGCGTTGTAACACAAGAATCACAATGTGTAATATCACAAGATAATTTTTTAACTGATTAAATCAATCGGTGTTATCTTTTTAAAAAACATCTAGTGACGAAATGTGTATTTTCAGGTGCTAAAGAAGAATTGAAAAAGTTGCGAGACTGCCATTGAGATGCCCTGAAACATAAGTTGTACGTTTGGGTCTAGAGGGACAATAATAATAATAATAATAATAATAATAATAATAATAATAATAATAGTAGTAATAATAATAGTAATATTTAAAAAAATAATTGAAATTTGAAGAGCAGATGGCCTTTCTTTATAGAGAGAGGCGTGGCAACCTGCCAGAAGAACCAAGAACATACCAGCTAGAGAATGTGGAAGGAGAAATGTTTTGCTCTTGCAGTACTGGCACCGAAAAAGTGAAAGTTTTTCATGTACTCCAAAATCGAGGAAAAAAGTGGACCTGATTTTAGAGTATTTGGAAAAAGGAAGGAGAGATGAAAGAGCATCCCAAATGCCCTCTAGTTTTCATTGCAAGAGAACTGTATTTTGGCTACTGCATTTCTGATCAAACAAGCTCCCTGTCTCAAGATAGCACTTCACTAACTGAAATGTGAAACTCTTGTTTGGAATAGGCTCAGTTTAAATTTATTCTTTGAAAGCTGCCTGGAACTTTTTGAAGAATTGCATTTGGAAATACACCTCCACCACAAATCTCCTTCGCTCTATGTTAAAGCACATCGTAAGTTACCTTCAAAACTGAATGAAGACGCAGTCTGTTTTGCTTTGAGCAGGCATGACACAGACCACAGGAAAGAATAGAGAGGAGTGAAAGGAAGGGGGTGGTGAGAGAAGGGACTGTCACAGAAATATAGTCAAAGAGCTGTCCCAAAAGCAATGTTGCAATTCTTTGAAGTTTCTCTCAGGGCCTTGAACAGCAGGGTTGCATTTTAAACAGATCACCCAGTTCATAATATGCTTCTATATCTGATTAGCTTCAGAAATTATTAAGAAACATACATTATTCACGTAAATGTTATTTAAAATAAATTTTAAAAAAATGATTAAAATAATCATGAATTTTTTACCCTGTGATCATAGGAAGAAAAGGGAAATGTCAAGTTCTTTGTAAAAAGCTCTAGAAATAAATTTAAAGTACATTCTTGGTAGAAGGCTGTGTGCTGTAGAACAAGGAGCAACTTTGCAATTAAAATAATTTAGAGTTTTCATGCTTGGGGTGAATATTGGATATATGACATGTCAAAACTTTATCACAAAAATGTTGATTTATCATAAGCAATTTCACAGGATATTGTCAACAGCAAGGCACATCTAAAGCAGAAGCTATCATTACCTGTTTGCTATACGTTCCTCAAAGAGACTTTCATATATTGATTCTAACACACACTTTTCTTCTTTCATTTGTTCCACGGCTGACTCCAAATCACCACTGAAATTAAGTTCTTTACCTTCTTCATCCTCATCCTCTTGAAGTTTTTTAACATTTGGAAAACGAGTTTGAACTCTGAAGTACTTTGATGCTAAGACTTCCAATGCTGTCCCTACATCACCATCTGTAATTTCAAGGGCTTCAGCACAATGAGATTTGTGGAAACCATACCTGAAGCAGATAATTAAAAATATGAATTGAATGCGTATTTAAATGAAAATATTATGTACTGTCATTTAAAAAAATACATTAAAAAAAACCAACTAAAAGAACTACATGTATATAAAAAAAGATTGCTTCAAAAAGGGGCAGTCCTAGTATAATAGAAATAATTTTATTAACCCTCCGCACACCAAGTTTTAAATGTAACACTGAATACCAAGCAGGGTACACATGTACCCGACTCAAATATTATGCAAGATTTTTTTGAAATATGAAATAAATAACTAAAATATGAACATTTTGATTATTTTAAGCAGTTAATATATAATGAAAGACATACCTATGTCATACTTCATTCCTATGTTTCTCTTATTACATCAAAATATTTATTTCAAGGTTATTCATGTCTTAGGCAACTGATACATATTTTTTATTGTTTTTGTATCTGAATGTTCATTACTTGAAAACGACGAACACTTACTGCATCTTGTTCTACTCTTTCTATCTCTGTTTGTAATAATTAATAAGGAATGAAAATTGGTGATGTGGAATACCAATCAGGGTAAATGTACCCCCGTGCTTGTTTTTAAGAAAAACAAACAAACAAACATAAAATACCTTAAAATTATTACTTTCCTTAAGATATAATTGTCAACAGAAGTATTTCAGACAAGAAGTAAAAAAGTGAGATCGGGTGTGCATCGTGATGTGTACGGTCTCGGTGTGCGAACGGTTAAAATTTCTTGAGAATGTCAAGAGATTCAAAGATGTTATAAATTCATAGAATGTAAAAATTATCGAATGTCTTATGTGATTTATTTTTTGGGGCTCTTTATGCTTACTTGTTGGCCCTTGATATTTGATGAGCCCTGTCTTTTCTAAAATTTGAAAAGTTTCACAAATTTTACAAATTTATCCTCTATCTTTTAAGCAAGAAAGGAAACTAGGGTAAATTACATTTAGGCGTGAAATATACAAAGAATTTTCAATTTATTACTAATGATGTACATTTAAGGCATGAAGACAAATTGTTTAAAAGAATTATTTTGTGCCATAATAACATGTAATTATTTCCGATATGGACATTCTCTGATTATTTTAAGAAGAAAATAAATTAAAAATAGAATTAAAAAAGTATTGCAGTATCATCATACCCTTGTAGTCTGGCCAAAGCAAACTTATTTACTTGATCCTTCATTGATACGCTATCCTTTGGTTTTGAATAATCGATTCCTCCTTGAACAATGAGGTGTCCTCGATCCATCCAGTAAAGTTTACTAAGGTTTTCACCTTTATCTTTGTATGCAGAAATATCTCTCAAACAAAAATTCTGTAACATACACAAGTTAATTTAGAACACTTCAAAAATTCCTTGAATTAAGCAAAAAAACAAAAAACATACGCAATTCATTCTTTTTTAAAATGAATAATCATTGCCTTACCACAATAAATAGAATAAGGTCAAAACATGTAAGAATTAATAATGTATGAATTTGGTCCTACTTTTAATGGAATGAATGTGGACTAAATGTAGACAATTTGAAATAGATCAATTGCAACTTGTCCAATGAAATAATGAACAAATGACAGCAGATGAGAAAATAAATTCACAAACTCATTCTATTCATTTTAAGACGTTATTAAAATGCACAGTTTATACTATAAAATCGATTAATGAAAGCAAGTGATCACCCATCCAGAGTCCACCACCTTTCTATTAAAGAAAAAATCAAGTAGAAGGTTCAAATTTCTTTCTCAACCAAAATGCTTCGTATCTTAATTATGAAGATTTTATAGCTTAAAAACTTCCACGAGCTTGAACTAAAAGAACAACAACATTCCAAATTTTTTAGTAATAATTAACATTAATACTAATTTAACTTATAATAAGGAAATTGGAAAACAATAGCAACAAAGTTTCTTATAGTAGTAATTATTACATTATCTTAATTTATAATAAGAATTAAGATACACTCTTACAGTAATGTATAGCTTATGACCAATTGTTTGCAACATATTCTTATATCCAGTGACTAGTGTGAAATGTTGGTTCGTCAGTTCATACAGATTATAAAATGAAAAAATTTTGATTGATTTAAGTACAATTAATGCTCATGATATTATTTGGTCACTACATAAATTGTAATTTGTTTATTATAGGAAGGCTCAAAAAAAGCCAAGTAGTTTGAAGTTTAAAGAACTGTTATTTTGTTTGTGCGAACTAAACTCAAGAGAATTCTTGCAATTTTTTAACGTATCCCCACTTATCCTATATCACTTTATTAAACAGGGCAAACGAATTTGCAATTTTGAAGTGACATTTGGAATCTGTTTTCAATAATTCCCTCATGATTGGAAGACTACTGAACATCAGTAATACTTTCTGAAACACTGCTAGTGACATTGTTTGTTAAGAATTTTGAACAGTACATTATGTGATAGTTTACATGCTCTTGGGTATTTTAATGACATATTTTCTTTTTTTGAATAAATGTAGATTATTACTCTAATAAGCCAGTACTTGTTTCTCATTAGCAAAAATATTTCTTTTATATGTTGCTTGCCATGTTTTTTCCATATTAAATGTGTTATTTTAAGAGCCTGATTATTTTTTTATTGTTTTGCCACTGTAATTATTATTATTGTTGCGATTTAAAATGGTTTTTTTTGCTACTTCACTTCTTTTCTAAAATTGTATAATAATTTTTGGAGTCTGGGAAGTGAAAGTTTAGAAAGTAAAATTTACAACTGTTGGGAAAAGTTTGAGTATTTACAAGACTTCAAGGATGTATTTTTTGTTCTTGTTTTTTAAGAAGTTACATATTTAACAAATAAAAATACGATCTGAAACTAGATAAAACATTTTAAACCTTTAAAAGACTACAACAAGTTTTAAACGATATTTAGAATGCCATTACCTCATAGGCCCCATAACTGAACAAAGCACTAAAAAGAGGATGTCAGGCACCGTGGGTTAATGCACCATGAATAAAGACTGCAACTGCAGAGCAGGTGGATCTACTTTTTCTAACCAGTTAATGTGTTGTTTATGCCCCAAAATACTATTCACCTTGACTACTACTCTTACTTTTTCAAGTACTGTTACAAAGCATGATGTTATAGTTTTCAACTTGGTCAATACTATAAATGAATGCATATCATTTCAAGATAGTAAGAACATAATATTTCAGTCTATGTGATTAATTTTCTAATACACTTGTACTTGCCTAAGCCAGTACTTAAAACCTTCTAGGTACAAATTCACCAAATAGCTAACTTAAGATTGACTTACATGATGCGAAAGCTGTAGGAAACATACAAAAAAGCAGGATTAAAGACCAATATCCTCAAAACAAAATATATGGTAGTGGGAAAGAAGAAAAGTAATCATATAACAATAAATGGAGAAAAGATAGAAGGATGTCATGAATTTAAATAATTGGAAGGAATTATAAGCGAAGAAGGACATTCTAGAAAAGATGTTTTGAAGATCACACAAGGACAAAGTTAAATTTGCTGCACTAGAGAAAACTAATATCCAGGTCAAATGAATCAATGAATGGATTTTTTGAGAAGAATTTGTGGAGTTATGAAGTTGTGGAAAATAGAACACATTAGAAATGAAGAAAAAACACGAAGTCTGAAATGGTGTGGTCATGTGAAAAGGCTAGATTGTGGGAGATGGCTCAGAGAAGTTTGTGACTGCTTTCTATTACGTAGAAGAAAAACAAGTAGACCCAGAGGGGAATGGCAGAATCAGTTTTTTAAAGAAATACAAAGGTAGATGGATAGGTCTAGAAGAGAACTGGAATGATAGAGATTGGGATGCGAGAGACAGCTGCAAGAGCTATAGAATACTTGCAAGAAGAAGAGATTGACTTACAAATACTGTCAATTTTCTTGAGGTACTGACCAAACATGAATTCTCATGAGTGAATCGAAGTAATTTCAATAAAAGAACATTTATTTTGTATCAGTTTAATAAAAATTCAATTAATAAAAAAATAAAGATATGTGAAATCACCTTCCCATGTAGTTCTTTCATGGTGTCTAATAGAAGATCTTCACTCTCTTGAGACATAAAGAGAGTTTTCATTTCAACTTTGAGTCTTGCCCTCCTCTCTTCCCCATCATTGGAGCTGTAAAATAGTGAAATATTACATATCAATTGGACACATCTGAAATTTCTCTCTTAGGGTTTGTTTTTATAGTTCTACGTAACTTTTGTGACTGTTCCTTACACTTGCCACCAACATCAAGCTGACATGTGTCAACTATTCTAAATACATAAAATATTTGGAAACACTTAAGACTTAACCAAATACCTAATTTGGAAGACATTTACTAGATACTATCTGCAAAGGTGTGTAATGACACCTTGTGCAATAGTTTCAACACATGAAACCATGTCTTTATCAGCATTGCTTTTGCGTTTCAATTACCTTGATTTATCTCCTCCGGCTTTTGTGGCGACAACAACATCTCCGTTCTGAACAGAATCGGCATTCTTGCTTTTGGTAGACTTCGAACTAGTTTTCTTAGAACTCATAGTTACTGTACAAACTTACAATTTCATTGAAATAAAAATAAATTAAAAACTTCAGGTGTTGTCAAGTGACGACACTGAAAAACTCAACATAAAAAAGAATATCTTCTAAACAAAACGAAACATAGGAATAGGTACCATAAAGGGAGGTGGCAAATAACATAACCTCAAATTACTGCAAAAGACAGAACTCACCGGAACTCACGCATCTTGGCCACGATTCTGGATCTTCGAACGCTATTGGCCAAACTAAAAACAAATGAATGTTGGTATATGTCTTGTGCTGCGAGAGTAGTGTACCTTAGAAAACAAATGAGAAATATTATTTGCTAACAGATGGCGTTGTAATACAAAAAACAGGTAATATAAGACGCTAAGCACAATATCTACAAAGGACGTGCTTTGCGATGGAGGTTGTTTCAGTTCGATTGTAATACATTTTTCACCCAGATAAATGGAACCCTATGGAAATTGTTACCACTCTGGGGGATCTAATGCGTTGAAATGTACCAATGCAGTGTTTTATGAATGAACTGCAAAGTCTTCGAATTAAAATATTGATCAAACTTTCCCTATATATTTTTTTATTCAGAAAATATTTTTAAATATTGAATTAAAAATTATGTATAATTATAATAAACTTTTTTACTGCCCCAACCGAATTCTTAATTCAGTACATAAGGGTTGTTACAAATTTTTAAATAAAATTTTCAACTTTTAAATTTATTTTTTCCTTTTTTATTTTTATTTTTATTTTTTACATTTGTTGCGTCTTCATCACGACGCAACGCGACTCCTAACCCATATTGAGCGTTGAGGGCTATTGTAGTTTACCATTTTCAACATTCCGCTAATAGTAGTTTATACAATTAATTTATAATGTTAAGCTTTATTGCATGAGTATGTTTTGAAAATGAGCGACTTTAGGAGCGAGTATTTCATTTATAAGAGAATCAAACTTAAATTTGCGAAACAGCTTCCCTGTGACGACTCGGGTATTTGACATCGTGCGAGTAAACGGTGGTCGGCTGTTCCGTTTCTCCCCCCGATTCTCTCGCTACGACTGGCTGAATGTGTGATGACGCAATCATTCGTGACATAAAATGTAATACATTATCATTTATGCCGTAAAATGCAAGTACTTTCTCGCATTTTTTATTCAGTTAGGGTTACGCCGTACTTAGAGCAGATTTCATTTAAGACAAAAATCTGCATTTTCAATATCGAACTTTTTCAATGTTACCTTTTTTTAAATTTTCGGATTCTTCATATTTTAGGTCCTACACACGTACTAAGTTTCCGGGCCAACCGACCAGTCAATCCGACAAATTGCATCGTGTGGAGGCAAGTTGTTCAACAGGAATTTTTGTCGGGCGATTGGTTGGTCCTGACCACATGACCGCCAATTCCCCCACCATTCTGCCAGACAAATGATAGTATAGTGTCATAAGCATTGGCCGACTTACTATGATTTTAGACCTCAAATCGCTGGTTCTAATGTGAAACAGTTGTTTAATTGAAAAGTTCTCTGGTACTTTGGAGGATTTGATGTCGCTTATTACGAATATGAGGTCGATAATTTCAAGAAATAAAATTACAGATAGAATTTGGCAGAAAAGTAAATAAAACATAAAATGCAAAGAGTATAGCCGGATAAGGCGGTGAAAAGTGCCCCCAAACCAAATCGATAATCGCGATGCTCATATGAAAGAGAGTACAAAATGTCGTATAATTCGCAAAAAATCAGCCTCATAGGGCTATCTGTTGCAGAGATACGAGAAACGTGTTTTTCGCGTTTTTTTCTCAGCTTCTATTGTATGTATCAGACTGAAAAAATATACAGAGACGGGAGAAATAGGTATTTTGTCAACCAATTTTGATGCCAAATTCAAATAGAAAAAAAAAAAAAATTGAAATTGTATTTCAACATAACGTTGGAGTAGTCTTAGTTTTTCTCCTTAGAATGTGTCTTATAATTATGCAAATTTTTAAAGATTTTTAAACAATGCGGATGATAGTGAAAACAATTAAAACTAATTTTATCAGTTTAAAAATTTGAAATTCGCGGGAAAATGTAATAGGAAAAATCGTTTTTACCAATATATTAACAGATTTATTTACGACTTATGAACTCGAAATCTTATAGGTGTTACATCGCTTATGTACCAAACGCAATCGGAATATCTATGGTGTAAAGAGATGGGGGACCCTTACGCAACTGACTTCAGCCAATGATCTTTAGGCAACAGTTTCTCATAATATTAGCGAGAATATTAAATGCCAAAATTATCACAGTTACAAGTCATTGAAACAGAAACAGATAAACACCTTATTTAATTTTTGCATCTTTTTTTAATTACACCCTCATCGTGTTCTAAATACAAATACATTCTAGAAAGAAAAACTGAAACAGCACTCCAACTTATGTCGAAAATCAATTTCAAAATTTTATTAATTTTTTTCTATATGAATTTGGCGTCAAAATTGGTTGACAAAAATACCTTCAAATGCAACTATTTTCCCGTTTCTGTAATTTTTTTCAGCACATGCGATAAAAGCCAAGAAACAAATAAAACACGAAAAAAAAGTTTTTCATTGTATCTCTGCTACAGATTGTCCTAGGAGACTGACTTTTGGCGAATCTACGACATTTTGTTTTCTCGTTTATATGATCATCGCGAATATCGGTTCGGTTTGTGGGTACTTTTCACCGCCTTATCCGGCTACATCCTTTCTTTTCAAAATCGGTAATGTAAACGAATTCTGACAATAATTATGAGAATGAAAGATACATAAAGAAAAAAATTGTTTTTATTTATAAATTGTAAAAATTTAATAAAATATCATGAGAAAATCATTATTCAACGGCTTAAAAACTCCTTTATTCAAACACGTATTACTCGCACAACTTTTCTTGAACGATGGATTGAAGAAATGCGGGTAGAGTAGGGGTATTAGTAACGAAATCGGCCACTAGATTTTATGAAGCAATGCCATTCTCTGGAGAATCAGTCATGCCTTCGCAACTTTCTCAATAAATTGCTTTCTAATTTTCTCAGGAGTTCGATGTATTTCCTGCGATGAATCTTCACATGCTTTGGTCATTTATTTAAATTATTTGGAGAAAATCGCGGTCAGAAGTTCCCAGAAGAAGGAAAATAGTTTCTACTTCGCGCCAGTGAAGATGTGTTGGAATGTTGTCATCAGTGCACGCTGCAAGCTTTTTTTCAACCGTTTATTGTATCGGAGAGGGGGAAGCAAGGTCATCGTTCAAGAAAAGTTGCGCGAGTAATACCAGCAATGCAGTTGCAGCGAGATGCAGCATCTTATGGGATTATGAAAGGTAATACAAAATATACACAAGAAAATTGCAAATTTGACCGTAGAATTAGTAAGTACTATTACACCCCTCCCCAGATTTTCTCATTCATTTTTTCACTACAGTAATTAACATAATATTCAGTGTTCACGTGGTCTAAATCTTTTATTTTAACTCGCGTTTTATTTGTACGAAAACTATATAGAAAATCTTAATAATTTGATGGTATTTTTCACTGCCGTAATATAACACAGTTGCACGTAGTTAGCTTTCGAACTTGGTTCTGAAAATGAATACAAATGATGTGTTTCTTACATGCATTTTGATTCTATGACTATATGGGTAAACTATATGTGAACATAAACATCTCTAAATAGGGCTTTTTTCTTTTCTTTTTCTTTCTTTCTTTCTTTCTTTCTTTCTTAATAATGGCAATATTTTTGAATTTTATTTTCTTGCTACTGTTTTATAGTATAGAGAAAGTATTGTAATGTTGCGGGGGAAAAATGAGAATTTTCGTCAGAAAAACACTTATTGTTGGACCGTGGTAATGAGTAAATGGATCATTATTTTTCAATATATAGAAATTACAGCCTCTAACACGAGTAGTCAAAATCAGGGCCGGATTTAAATAGTGCGGGGTCCCAAGCACAAAATTGTTTTGCCCCCCCCCCCGAAAAAATTGCTTCCATCTTTATTAAATAAAAAAAGTATTATATACAAGTACTTCTGTACAGATACAAATGAAAACTGATAATTTTATAGAAATTTTACTTGTTTTACAATTTTTTACATTTAAATACATACATAATTACAAAAAAAAATACATATTCAGTTATAGTAAAGAAATAAAAAGTAAGTAATATTAACATGTAATAAATATTTTTAAAAAAATGTTTTGAAATTGAACATTTTGTTAACAAAGTAGACTAACTTGATAACATTATTTCACAGACAAAAAAAAATATAGTTATTGCGTATTTTTCGAACGCGGGCCCCGGCAAATGGTGGCCCCCAAGCAACTGCTTGTTTTGCTTGTAGGTAAATCCGGTCCTGGTCAAAATCCATGTTTTGCGGGTCCTTGAAACAGAAAAATTGATTGACAGTCAACGCTAGTTCCTCAACCGTTTAGCTGATTTTTTTCAAAATCAATATTCCCCAATTGATCTGGATGATGTTGCGTCCTCTTCAATTTGAAAACGATATTTTAATTTTTAGTGGTATATTTACATGAAGCCACTGACACAGTTTTAAATTTTTCAAAAAAATGCCACCAAAATTGTTGATTAAATTTTGTTGTCAGGTAGCGTATTGGACGCTTAATGCAGGTCTAATTTTCGTTACAATTCCTGCTTTTCCAAAAATTCGAAATTTTTCGGCGACTTCCTACAATTACAGTTATGAAGATAATTTTTTTCTTAATGAAATGTGTTCATCAAAAATTTATCTTCAAATAAGACCAATTCTCCAAAAAGGTAAGAAATTTTTAAATTTTAAACAACTATTTTCTCAGAAAAGGCTCCAAATTTTTTCTTAAATTTTTTTCCCACATATGTAGCTAAGAACTCTTATTTGTAAATTTGAATTTCTTGCGCTTCGTTTGAAGTAGTGTTACTCTGTAATTGTAATTTGACAGATACTTGAAGACAGTCAATCGAATCATAAAAAGAAAGATGACGTTTCATATTATTTTAGCATTAAATCAATGCTAAATTTAATTGAGTTAAACGTGTAAGCGAATGGATCGGTTCGCTTTGGCAAGATGCGGGAATTACGTGTAATTTGTGATGAATATAACATAATATTTAATTATTATACATTTTTCTATCTATTGGGGATTTTGTTGCTAGCGGTGTCCAGAATTCAGGTTTGCAAAATGTGAATGCCATACGAATCCATCGGCAGTTGCTTTGGCAACACTCCACTGACAACAGAAAGCAGTAGTGACAGACACAGTTTGTTCGTCT